ACACACACACACACACACACTCACTAACACACACACACACACAAACACACACATACACTAACACACTCACTAACACACACACACACACACTAACACACTCACTAACACACTCACTAACACACACACACACACTAAACACACTCACTAACACACACACATATGACCTCTGACCTCTCCAAGGACTCAGCGTGTGTGTGTGTGTGTGTGTGTGTCAGATATAAGACCGGTCTCCTCCGCCTCTCGTTTCATTCTCCTCATCACAAACATGTTGGCGCGTCTCTTCTCCTCTCTTGTCTCCTTTGTCTCCTCTCTCGTCTCCTTCCCTCCACCCTTCCTCCTCCTCCTCGTCTTCATCGCTGCAGCGCTCGTCTTCCTCCTTATCACACGCCGGTCCGTCCATGAAAACAGACCCTCGTCCTCCATCCCCTGCCTGCCGCGACTACCCGTCCTGGGAAGTCTCCCCTGGCTGGGAGGAGGTCTCCCCCCTCACCTGCTCTTCACCCGGCTGGCCCACAGGTGAGTCTGCTGAGCCTCCACAGGTGAGTCCGCTGAGCCTCCACAGGTGAGTCCGCTGAGCCTCCACAGGTGAGTCCGCTGAGCCTCCACAGGTGAGTCCGCTGAGCCTCCACAGGTGAGTCTGCTGAGCCTCCCATTTGTCCCCGGGGGGCAGAGCAGTAAAATAACAACAGTGCAGGTAGATGAAACACCTGAATATAAAGTGTCAATTTAAATACAACTTAAAGCTTAACTTAAAAATCTCAAATCTAAAAGAGTAGATATAAGTGGACAGTGATCGGACTATAAGATGTAACCAGAACTATGTGCAGTAAATGATAAATAAATATATATATATATATATACAGAGCTATGTGCAGGTAGGAAATACTAAATACTAAATGATAAGTTATTAAGGTGTATAATGGAACAACAGAACTAATATAATATAACTATAAAGGTAAATACTGAATGAATAAAGTGACCGTAGTGCAATGATGGATAAGAAACAACAGGAATAAAGTAACTCGTTATAGAGAACTGCTGTTTAATACAATAAAACTCAAATGAAATGCTCTTTGACCGGTGAATAAATCTACTGATATCGGCGCATATCTGCAATAAAATTAGCCGATACAGATAGTCATTGGATTCATTAATATCGATATTATTGGCAGATTAATTGGTCAGGCTCCTTTAGTCACATTTAGAAGTGTTTGTTATTGTTTAGGATGTTTAGCTGAATATTTCTGACTGAAAGATTGTGAGGAACGGTTATCCTTCAAACGTTTTATTTCAAAGCACTTTTGGGAGAACTTTTACTAATCAGAAAAAAACACTTTCTTCTTCTTTTTTAATCAATCAATCTTTATTTGTATAGCGTCAACTCATAACAAGTGTCATCTCGAGACACTTTACAAAAAGCAGGTAAAAGACCTTACTCATTGTTATGATACAAAAAGCAGGTAAAAGACCTTACTCATTGTTATGTTACATAATGCAGGTAAAAGACCTTACTCATTGTTATGATACAAAAAGCAGGTAAAAGACCTTACTTATTGTTATGTTACAAAAAGCAGGTAAAAGACCTTACTCATTGTTATGTTACATAATGCAGGTAAAAGACCTTACTTATTGTTATGTTAAATAAAGCAGGTAAAAGACCTTACTCATTGTTATGTTACAAAAAGCAGGTAAAAGACCTTACTCATTGTTATGTTACATAATGCAGGTAAAAGACCTTACTTATTGTTATGTTACAAAAAGCAGGTAAAAGACCTTACTCATTGTTATGTTACATAATGCAGGTAAAAGACCTTACTTATTGTTATGTTAAATAAAGCAGGTAAAGACCTTACTCATTGTTATGTTACAAAGCAGGTAAAAGACCTTACTCATTGTTATGTTACATAATGCAGGTAAAGACCTCACTCATTGTTATGTTACATAAGCAGGTAAAAGACCTCACTCATTGTTATGTATGTTACATAAAGCAGTAAAGAACCTTACCATTGTTATGTTACATAAAGCAGGTAAAAGACCTTACTCATTGTTATGTCACAAAAAGCAGGTAAAAGACCTTACTCATTGTTATGTTACATAATGCAGGTAAAAGACCTCACTCATTGTTATGTCACATAAAGCAGGTAAAAGACCTTACTCATTGTTATGTTACATAAAGCAGGTAAAAGACCTTACTCATTGTTATGTTACAAAAGAGCAGGTAAAAGACCTTACTCATTGTTATTTTACATAAAGCAGGTAAAAGACCTTACTCATTGTTATGTCACAAAAAGCAGGTAAAAGACCTTACTCATTGTTGTTACATAAAGCAGGTAAAAGGCCTTACTCATTGTTATTTTACTCATTGTTATGTTAAAAAAGCAGGTAAAAGACCTTACTCATTGTTACGTCACAAAAAGCAGGTAAAAGACCTTACTCATTGTTATGTTACAAAAAGCAGGTAAAAGACCTTACTCATTGTTATGTTACATAAAGCAGGTAAAAGACCTTACTCATTGTTATGTTACAAAAAGCAGGTAAAAGACCTTACTCATTGTTATGTTACATAAAGCAGGTAAAAGACCTTACTCATTGTTATGTTACAAAAAGCAGGTAAAAGACCTTACTCATTGTTATGTTACAAAAAGCAGGTAAAAGACCTTACTCATTGTTATGTTACATAAAGCAGGTAAAAGACCTTACTCATTGTTATTTTACTCATTGTTATGTTACAAAAAGCAAGTAAAAGGCCTTACTCATTGTTATGTTACAAAAAGCAAGTAAAAGGCCTTACTCATTGTTATGTCACAAAAAGCAGGTAAAAGACCTTACTCATTGTTATTTTACTCATTGTTATGTCACAATAAGCAGGTAAAAGACCTTACTCATTGTTATGTCACAAAAAGCAGGTAAAAGACCTTACTCATTGTTATGTCACAAAAAGCAGGTAAAAGACCTTACTCATTGTTATTTTACAAAAAGCAGGTAAAAGACCTTACTCATTGTTATGTCACAAAAAGCAGGTATAAGACCTTACTCATTGTTATGTTACAAAAAGCAGGTAAAAAACCTTACTCATTGTTATGTCACAAAAAGCAGGTAAAAGACCTTACTCATTGTTATGTTATAAAAAGCAGGTAAAAGACCTTACTCAATGTTGTGTTACAAAAAGCAGGTAAAAGACCTTACTCATTGTTATGTTACATAAAGCAGGTAAAAGACCTTACTCATTGTTATTTTACTCATTGTTATGTTACAAAAAGCAGGTAAAAGACCTTACTCATTGTTATGTCACAAAAAGCAGGTAAAAGACCTTAGTCATTGTTATGTTACATAAAGCAGGTAAAAGACCTTACTCATTGTTATGTTACATAAAGCAGGTAAAAGACCTCACTCATTGTTATGTTACATAAAGCAGGTAAAAGACCTTACTCATTGTTATGTTACAAAAAGCAGGTAAAAATCCTCACTCATTGTTATGTCACAAAAAGCAGGTAAAAGACCTCACTCATTGTTATGTTACAAAAAGCAGGTAAAAGACCTTACTCATTGTTGTGTTATAAAAAGCAGGTAAAAGACCTTACTCATTGTTGTGTTACAAAAAGCAGGTAAAAGACCTTACTCATTGTTATGTTACAAAAAGCAGGTATAAGACCTTACTCATTGTTATGTTACAAAAAGCAGGTAAAAAACCTTACTCATTGTTATGTCACAAAAAGCAGGTAAAAGACCTTACTCATTGTTATGTTATAAAAAGCAGGTAAAAGACCTTACTCAATGTTGTGTTACAAAAAGCAGGTAAAAGACCTTACTCATTGTTATGTTACATAAAGCAGGTAAAAGACCTTACTCATTGTTATTTTACTCATTGTTATGTTACAAAAAGCAGGTAAAAGACCTTACTCATTGTTATGTCACAAAAAGCAGGTAAAAGACCTTAGTCATTGTTATGTTACATAAAGCAGGTAAAAGACCTTACTCATTGTTATGTTACATAAAGCAGGTAAAAGACCTCACTCATTGTTATGTTACATAAAGCAGGTAAAAGACCTTACTCATTGTTATGTTACAAAAAGCAGGTAAAAATCCTCACTCATTGTTATGTCACAAAAAGCAGGTAAAAGACCTCACTCATTGTTATGTTACAAAAAGCAGGTAAAAGACCTTACTCATTGTTGTGTTATAAAAAGCAGGTAAAAGACCTTACTCATTGTTGTGTTACAAAAAGCAGGTAAAAGACCTTACTCATTGTTGTGTTACAAAAAGCAGGTAAAAGACCTCACTCATTGTTATGTTACAAAAAGCAGGTAAAAGACCTTACTCATTGTTGTGTTATAAAAAGCAGGTAAAAGACCTTACTCATTGTTATGTTACATAAAGCAGGTAAAAGACCTTACTCATTGTTATTTTACTCATTGTTATGTTACAAAAAGCAGGTAAAAGACCTTACTCATTGTTATGTCACAAAAAGCAGGTAAATACCTTAGTCATTGTTATGTTACATAAAGCAGGTAAAAGACCTTACTCATTGTTATGTTACATAAAGCAGGTAAAAGACCTTACTCATTGTTATGTTACAAAAGAGCAGGTAAAAGACCTTACTCATTGTTATGTTACATAAAGCAGGTAAAAGACCTTACTCATTGTTATGTTACAAAAAGCAGGTAAAAGACCTTACTCATTGTTATGTTACATAAAGCAGGTAAAAGACCTTACTCATTGTTATGTTACAAAAGAGCAGGTAAAAGACCTTACTCATTGTTATGTTACATAAAGCAGGTAAAAGACCTTACTCATTGTTATTTTACTCATTGTTATGTTACAAAAAGCAGGTAAAAGACCTTACTCATTGTTATGTCACAAAAAGCAGGTAAAAGACCTTAGTCATTGTTATGTTACATAAAGCAGGTAAAAGACCTTACTCATTGTTATGTTACATAAAGCAGGTAAAAGACCTTACTCATTGTTATGTTACAAAAGAGCAGGTAAAAGACCTTACTCATTGTTATGTTACATAAAGCAGGTAAAAGACCTTACTCATTGTTATGTTACAAAAAGCAGGTAAAAGACCTTACTCATTGTTATGTTACATAAAGCAGGTAAAAGACCTTACTCATTGTTATGTTACAAAAAGCAGGTAAAAGACTTTACTCATTGTTATGTTACATAAAGCAGGTAAAAGACCTTACTCATTGTTATGTTACAAAAGAGCAGGTAAAAGACCTTACTCATTGTTATGTTACATAAAGCAGGTAAAAGACCTTACTCATTGTTATGTTACAAAAGAGCAGGTAAAAGACCTTACTCATTGTTATGTTACATAAAGCAGGTAAAAGACCTTACTCATTGTTATGTTACAAAAAGCAGGTAAAAGACCTTACTCATTGTTATGTTACATAAAGCAGGTAAAAGACCTTACTCATTGTTATGTTACAAAAAGCAGGTAAAAGACCTTACTCATTGTTATGTCACAAAAAGCAGGTAAAAGACCTTACTCATTGTTATGTTACAAAAAGCAGGTAAAAGACCTTACTCATTGTTATGTTATAAAAAGCAGGTAAAAGACCTTACTCATTGTTGTGTTACAAAAAGCAGGTAAAAGATCTTACTCATTGTTATGTTACATAAAGCAGGTAAAAGACCTTACTCATTGTTATTTTACTCATTGTTATGTTACAAAAAGCAGGTAAAAGACCTTACTCATTGTTATGTCACAAAAAGCAGGTAAAAGACCTTAGTCATTGTTATGTTACATAAAGCAGGTAAAAGACCTTACTCATTGTTATGTTACATAAAGCAGGTAAAAGACCTTACTCATTGTTATGTTACAAAAGAGCAGGTAAAAGACCTTACTCATTGTTATGTTACATAAAGCAGGTAAAAGACCTTACTCATTGTTATGTTACAAAAGAGCAGGTAAAAGACCTTACTCATTGTTATGTTACATAAAGCAGGTAAAAGACCTTACTCATTGTTATGTTACAAAAAGCAGGTAAAAGACCTTACTCATTGTTATGTTACATAAAGCAGGTAAAAGACCTTACTCATTGTTATGTTACATAAAGCAGGTAAAAGACCTTACTCATTGTTATGTTACAAAAGAGCAGGTAAAAGACCTTACTCATTGTTATGTTACAAAAAGCAGGTAAAAGACCTTACTCATTGTTATGTTACAAAAAGCAGGTAAAAGACCTTACTCATTGTTATTTTACTCATTGTTATGTCACAAAAAGCAGGGGAGGGGTTGTTCTGGCAGGCTGACTGAATGTCCTCTCATGTGTCTCGTTGTCTCAGGTATGGCTCTCTGTTTGCGCTCTACCTCGGTCCTCACTACACTGTGGTGGTCAACAACCATCAACACGCCCGAGAGGTCCTGCTGCAGAGAGGGAGGGACTTTGCAGGGCGACCGAGCATGGTGAGTCATGAAGAGAAAGTGTCGGGTAGTTGACTTGAATGTAACCATGTTTTTTTTTATGTTTTCGACATAATGAGACTTTATTGAATCCAGATCATGAAACACCATGACCTCAGTGGTGACTGCTTTGGACAATATTGGACTTTTTCTAAAATAGTAACTGTAATGGAGAAACCAGCGATGCCACGATAAAAATGTACTCGTTATGATGGCAAATAGAGTTAAATATAATGTTTGCATGTACGTCCCCTCAGGGATATATTATCAACAGTTTGATGTTTATTTTTGGTAAATTCTGAAATGAAGTATTACATTTAAATCCCACCACATCCTTTAAACTTTAAACAAAGTTTTTTTCCCTGCAGGTGACCACCGACCTGTTGACCAGAGGAGGTAAAGACATCGCGTTCTCAGACTACTCTCCTCTGTGGAAGTCGCACCGTCGCCTCGTGCACAACTCCTTCACTCTGTTTGGGGAGGGAACGGGCCGGCTGCAGGACATCGGTACTCACACATCAAACTGAATCCATACTTTGAGATTCAAATTTTTCAGGATCCACAATCCTGAAAATGTTTGAATCCAGTGAGGTGACCCGAGGCTTCCCTGTTATTGGTTTTTCCTGCGGGTTACATGATGCGTTCAGGTGCTCCTCGGATAGTCCCAGTTTCCAAGTTAGGAAGTCGTTCTTCTTTCTTTTTTCTTTTTTCTATTGGTGATTAGATGAACAAAATGAAACATATAACATATGAAATATATAGAGATGAAAACTAAAGCGAGAACAAATACACAAAGACAAAAATTTAAAAATAAATAAAATGGACAAAATAGACAAAATAGCAAAACATAAAAAAAATTAAAAATGACCAATCACAAACTGTGTTGTTACAGACTTTAGAGATGTTGATGAGCTATTACCTTCCTCCGCCCTCACCCTCTTATAATGTCTTTAATAAACCAAACATGTTACCAAATTTCCATAAATTGTTTCTTAAGTTAAAATTACACAATGCTAATTCTGTTAGCCCATCAATGGCAATAACCATTATGTGTTATGTGTCAAGCTAAGGAACTAAGATGTACATCTTTCTCTGAACATCTTCTTCCTGCAGCTTCTTCATCGTCAAACCTTTAATCTTGTCCCTCCAGTTCTTTCCTCAGTGGACAGTCTTTGTGTTGAGTTGATGTCAGCCGGTTGCCGTGGCTTCGATCCGTCTCCAGCGGTGACCAGAGCCGTCACCAATGTCGTGTGCCAGCTGGTGTTCAGCGCTACATATCGCCATGGTGATGCTGAGCTACAGGAAGTGATCCAGTACAACAACGGCATCGTGCAGACGATAACCAGAGGAGGACTGGTGGACATTTTCCCCTGGATGAAGGTGCCTTCACTGACATCTATTTGGGTTCTTGTAAACCCTTAAAGTCCGTCTCTGTGTCAGTCTAAACCTGATCAGGGTACCTGTAAACCTTGTTTCAGGTCTTTACAAAGTCTAAACCTGATCAGGGTCCCTGTAAACCTTGTTTCAGGTCTTTACAAAGTCTAAACCTGATCAGGGTACCTGTAAACCTTGTTTCAGGTCTTTACAAAGTCTAAACCTGATCAGGGTCCCTGTAAACCTTGTTTCAGGTCTTTACAAAGTCTAAACCTGATCAGGGTCCCTGTAAACCTTGTTTCAGGTCTTTACAAAGTCTAAACCTGATCAGGGTCCATGTAAACCTCGTTTCAGATCTTCCCTAACGAGTGTCTCAGTAAACTGAAGGAGTGCATCACTGTGAGAGACCGGCTGCTGACACGTAAACTGGAGGAGCACAAGGTGACGTCCACACTCTCAAAAGGCTTTAAGAACTTAAAAACAAGAAGCTTTACATGTTGTGTCCACAGGGGGCGCTACTGTAGCTTTCATTGGGTCCTTCAGACTTAATGTAGCCCCAAAGTTTTTAAGGGACTTTTTTTACTTTTTGTCTTACCTGTTACCTGTATCCAGGCTTTGCTTAGTGACGGTGACCCCTGTGACCTCCTGGATGCTTTGCTAAAGGGCAAGAGTGAGAGTGGGCGGGGTCAAAAGTCACCTGGATCCGAGGAGGAGAGGATAACTGACGACCATGTTCTGATGACAGCAGCAGAGGCCTTTGGAGCCGGAGTGGAGACGACGTCCACCACACTGCTTTGGATCCTGGCCTACCTGCTGCACCACCCAGAGGTCAGAACGTGATATGGCAACGACTACGATTAACGCGTACACCAACAACATGGCAGAAAAGTGACCAGATTCTCAGCAGTCAAAGTGTGCAACCACTGCACCACCGTACAACTCTGAAAAAATGATATGATACCAAATAAAGATGTAAAGACGTGTACAGTAACTTAATGATTACATGTGTTGTCTGCTGGGCTCCGCCCCCTCTGCAGGTCCAGGAGCGTGTGCAGAAGGAGCTGGACGAGAACGTGGGCAGTGAGCGACCGGTGTGTATGTCAGACCGCAGCCGACTACCATACCTGGACTGTGTGATCAATGAGGGCATGAGGATCCGACCAGTTAGCCCCGTTCTGATCCCACACACTGCCATGACGGACAGCAGGTACGCCTGCTCCAAATATAAACAAATTATTTAGTTGAATAGTTGAATTTTAAAAATATATATGTTCTAGTTGCTTTAAAAATGTGATGAGGCTGATTGATTCATAAATAAATACAGACATATTCATTTATACTGAACTTATAAACAGTTGAAGCCACACCCAAACTCTCTCTGACGTTTAGCATTGGAGGTCACTCGGTCAGTCGTGGGACTCGTGTTTTGGTCAACATGTGGGCGATTCATCATGAACCCCGACACTGGGACAAACCCGACCTGTTCAACCCCGGTAAGACACATTAAAACAACTTACAGGAAACTCTTTAACCCCCACCTTAACACTCTGTCTCCCTGTCTCCCAGATCGTTTCCTTGACAACCAGGGCCAGCGGGTCACGCCCTCCTACTTCCTGCCGTTCGGGGCAGGACCTCGAGTGTGCGTTGGTGAATCGTTGGCCAGGCTGGAGCTCTTTCTCTTTTTGTCTTCAATGCTGCAGCGAATAAGTTTCAGCCTGCCAGAAGGGGCTCCCCCACCCAATCTGCAGGGGCGCCTGGGTGTGGTTCTGCAGCCATTACCTTATAAGGTCGTTGTTGCTCCAAGGGCGGGGTTGGGAGGCAGAATACAATTATAGGGGAGGGGTTACTAGTGATGCAGATTGTAAGAAATGAGAAACGATTTTAATTTTACACAAGTTAAAGGACACCTAGTGTTTAAAATGGGTACTGCAGTCTGAATTCTAAACATTGTAGAGAGCCCCCCCCCCTCCTCTCTAGAGTGGATGCTCACTCAGGTCACCATGTGGTGGACTCTGAAGCTTCAGTGTTTATCCAGCTCTGCATTGGTCTTCTAACCTCTACATTTTTCAAAAGCCTCTCCAATATTTACTGCTGCTATTGTTTTGATTTGACCAGAGAAGGTAGGCCGGTGGTGTGCTAAAACTACTGTTTTGGACGCCCCTCGGTTTGTCAGATATGAGAGCAGTTATCAGGTCAACAGGTGTTGCAGCGATGGAAGCGGTCAAGAGAAGTGGTTCAGATAGAAGTGATTGTACCCGACCTAAAAAGCCTCTGCATGTTTCTAATAAGCTCCACGAGCAGAAACGTGCTCAAACTAGGAAAAATGAAAAAAGGTAAAGGGAGACGCTAACTGAAGCTGTCATGAATTTGTTCTTTATGTCTTGTGTGTCACAAATTTAAAAACAAAAAAAGCTAATGCTAGCCTAGCATGCTCAAATTTCATTATTTTGCAACTTTAGTCTAATTGCACGCAAGCATATTTTGAAAACAGTATACTTCTGGATTAATGTTCAAAATGTTAAAGAAACGTTTCTCTCCTGTGGAATAGTTTCATAGAAATCCTGTTTTGACTGAGTGTTTGTTTTAAACCTAGATGGAGTGTTTTTTCTATGATTACTGTTTTTTTTTTTTAAATCAATAAAAAGTGATTCATCTCCACATGGTGATGCTGGTTTGTCTCATCACTTGTACAGGATACACAGGTGTGACTTCGATGCTCAAACGGAGGCAGACTGGTGGTAGGTTTTTACAGTTTTATTCAGTATATCTTCACACACTTTTAGAACAGGCTGGTTTAGTTAAATCACACACATACATCCACACATACACACTCAGTATTAATGTATTGATACTTAGAATTAGCATTGTTACCATCTTTGTAATATTAGAGGACTTGAGAGGCTGATCTCTTCTGTGCTTCCTTCGACTCCTCCGACAGAAACCTCATGCAAACAGGAAAGACAGAAGAGAGGAGATACAAAACATCCTGTAGACAGAAAAGGGCTCCTACAGTAAGAGCATGACACTTTTTATGATGACAGGTGAAGCTGCTCCTCAAGTGAATGTTGATCAACGGTAAAAAAAATGAGTCCAAACAAGAGTTTCTACACCTTCGACTGGGTTCACATTTCAATCAGGATTGGTTTCCAATAGAGGACTGACGGCTCAATATCTCCACCAGCTAGGGGTTAGTCAGTCTAAAATTGCAGATGAGACCCGATTTTGAGATTGCTTGGGCTTTTATGCACCAAAAGCATCTATGACCTTCTTCTATGGACAGCTAGCAGAGCTACTCCTCAAGAGGTTGATTAATAAAACATGACTTTATCAGAAACGTAAGTTTAAAGCTTTGGGATAATAACTTGAGTTAATTTTTTGGTCAAACCAAAACCTGAAAATGTGAACCCACTTTGTGAGAATCTTCTGTTGGGGTGTTTTGTCCACCAGAATGTGACAGAGATACTTGTCTTGATATCTCAAAATGAACTGAAAAAGCAGATAAATGCTTGGCCTATCCGACATCAGCCTCAAATAAAGGAAGATCTTCTAGTCTTAGATATTCTGTTGATGCCAATGCTGCTACTTTGATGTAATCATTGAAGAAACTTTAGAGAAACTTGCAGGTTTGAGCTTCCAGGAGTTAGACGGCGTTCCCTTTATGAGTATACCAGATTGGTAAAAATATTGATGGAAATTATTTCAGACAGTGTCAATACTCTTCTGGTGCTCGGTGAATATTTGGATAAAATCCTCAATGAACCGCTAGACGTCACATAACCACCTGAGTTTCCTTTCATGTGGCTGATGTCAGGGCTTCAAAGCATTTGGTAAACACAGATTTGAGACATTTCCACAGTCACTCTGGTCAAAAGTCCACATCCACACAGAGCGAAACAGCTCTATCTAATGCTAAGTAGTAACAGTTGTCAAGTAGAAATGGCACTCTGTAACCACGGAGATATACAACCCTATTAGTTAAGGTAAACAAAAAACACCATCAACCACAACATCAACGGATCGGTATCACCCTTGAGCTTTCTCCAGGAGGTCCTTCAACCTCTGTGAAAAAAACGTAAGCCTCGGTCATTGGATGCAACATTGGCCTGGATTCAGCTGAAGCACTCGTCGATTTCTTACAAGGTCTGAGACAAATCCCACCAGAGAATCAGCTGGAGCTTTCCTCAGTCCACATTGGCTCAAAACCAGATTCCATGATATGTGAATTTGACCGCTAAGATTTAAAAAAACAAAAGCTTGGGTCATTTTTATCCCTTGATGTTAGAATTCATTGTTGGGACATTGGTTTCTAAACTGAAGGCCAAGGCTTGTTGCAGTCCGGACAACAATCCATCGGTTAGTTTGCTGAAACTGGACTTGAGTGGCGACCTTTCCATGTCAGGACATTGCTTTGTTATAATGAGGTGCAGCAAAGATCTGTCCAAAATGAAGTCCATGTTGTGATGCAGCATTGACACAGGGTACAGGGATCAATCAACAAGACTCGGGTCTTCACATTGGAGATGGTTGACTTAAAGGTACCCGTGAAGGAGACAGTAGTCCGTTGACCGGTTCCCTGCTGCTCAGTGGTTGCCATACTTTCACAGAAACCTGAATGCAACACTTTCCTCCAACATGAAGTCGCCAAAACTTGGTGTGTCCAATTTGAACATTCTTCTTAGAGGAGTTCTGGTTTCATTACAATCTGATGTCACTGCGTCTTCACTCGAGTCACATTCAACTCTCTGGTGTCTTTCCAACTTTTCCTACATGTGGTATGTAACAACACATTTGTGAAACTTGCCAAGCGTACAGTGACGGCAGAAAGAAACAAAAAAACAAGTGCACTTTGTAAGAAAGAAGGAGAAATCTTGCTATTACAATCTGACTACTATGTTATATTTTGTGTTCCAGTTATTTGAGGAGCATCCTGCCTCAACAAAGGGGCGCATTCTTCATTGTTGAAACAGGATTTTGGAAAAGCAGTAAACAATAAAAAGATGAGATTGGGAATGAGTGATGGGATATTTTCTCAAAGTGTTGATTTGTCATTTATATAAACACGGCACCAGCTCTAACAATCATTTAACTGCTGCTGTTGGGCCAAAGCCTTGCAGACCCAATTTGAGCATGTCCAAATGAAAACATGAAAATATTTTGCTTTCTTTACTGTCAAGGCTTTTGGGGGAAGGGCAGGGCAAGACCCTTGACGATGAAAAATATTGCTAATTGCTCATTTTATAATCTCAGGTGATTTAAAATACACCAGCATGTGCTACACAGATGTTAATAACTCTGTCATTGACAAAATATAATCTACCTTTATGTCTTTTTGTCACAAAATATCAACTTGTCTATCAATCTGAAAGGACAAAAACATCGATATATTACAACTTCCTAAATTATTTTTTCCCATTCTGTAACAGAAATACATTTTTTGTTGGGTGATGTTAATTAAGTCCATCAATTTATCACTTATTATCATTTTGTGGATTCTGAAAGGGAAAACTGGAGGGCTTAGACGGTGACTGAATCTATTTTATCTTTGACACGTTGTCGTATCTGACCTCAAATTCAGAGAAAGAGACAAAGACGGGTATGGTGACGCGCTCTCTCAGTTTGTTTGCTGCTTTGTTTCTGTCCTGAAGTGCCCATTGTTGATTCCGCTTTATGAAAAAAGCTTTTCTCTGCCGAAAGACTGACGCACAGAAAGCCAAATGTCTCGTCCCCCCCTGCAGCCGTCCATATAGGATTAAGCTGCTATGAACAGGCTAAATCCAAGAAATTTCTCCTTTTTCATAAACTACCCACTTAATTCCGCTCTCCTGACAGACGTCTTCATAAATACGTCTCCACTTATCAATGAATCAGTCTTCCCTCTGTCAGTCACAGTGAATCACCCTCCTACATAAGACTCATTTCATTTCCTAAACAGCCAATTCGTCCCGGCACGTTTCCAAATCTCCGTCATCTCACAGGACAAGTCAGATGTCCTCGGCTAAACGTCAACTATTTAAAGTCGTTTTGACAAATAGATGTAGGAATTAACATGTCATTGCAATCAAGGACAGAAAAATCCCTCTGGCACACATGAAGCTTGAAAATGATTCCAACATTTATGTCTTTCTGTCAACGTCTTTGCACCACTTAAGGTGGATATAAAATTGCAGTATTGGCAAATCCCATGTTATATCCATCTTATTTTCCCTCAAATTACCTTGAACAAGATTTTAATTCATGTTTTACGTCTAAGTTTGAATCCCTTTTTGTTGCACTTGTGCAATATTAAGTGTGAAGTTGGAGAAAACACGGAGTTTAGAAAAATCAGATTTTCTCTGTTGCTAGTACGACTTCTAACTTCCACTGCATTATCGTTGTCGATGTCTAACTTTCTGTGTATGCAGGTTAATAACATCGTGTGATAAGATTAAATGACCAACCATGAGTGCAGGTTAGAAGTTCCTTAGGGAGAGGACAGGAGAACAAAAGGACAAGCTAATAGTTATGGATCTAAATAATGCCGGTTTTAAGTGTGAGTGCAAGACAATTTAAGAATTTAGTTTTTCCAGCAATTCCAGGAGAATTTGAGAGGGGTATAGGGGTTTTTCCCAGAGTTTTGTGACTTTGACTGTATGTACTTAGACTATTTACTATGATGGAGAACATCACTAATTTAATCTACAGAGCACAAGCTACCTGTGATAGCTCTGCTCTGTCAACTTTTAGATGTTATTTATCGGTAAACTTTGAAATGACACATGAAGGTGGATGCAACTCAATGGAGGCGGAAGTCCTTTTTGATATTTTACATACAGGTGATAACAGCTCTGTTGTGCAATAGTGGTTAAATTGAATTAACCCATGATGCAATCTGAATAATGCTTCTCTTTAAAAAAGACCGATACCCACCTAGAAAAAACCTTACAAACAACAGCTGACTTAAATTCCTACTTCCTGTTGAAGAAAGAATTTTTTAAAGACTAATGCTGACCTGCTATATTTGTTCCTAATAAAACATTTAAACATCTATGGCAAGTCACTTGAATAACAAATGCTGAACAACCAACATTTATCGACGTGAACTAACTCGTTTCCATCATCTGTGTTCAAAACTTCCCAAGTTTTCAGAACATTTCATAAAACGGTGTCGATAGGTGGAATCTTACATTCAATTTAGTTCTTCCAGCGTTTGGGCAACAAATCGTTTGATCCGTCTACGTCATTAAATCATACTGTCTCCATGACAACAACAGCTTTGCCACAGTCCTCAGATGTTGATGTGGTGGTGGAGGTTGAGTTACAAAGTAAACCTTCTTCTGTGGTTATTTGACTTCTGGCAGGGCAGTCCACACTGTCATGGAGATCAGTGTTTCCACCTCCTTTTTTATCTCTCTCAACTCCACCTCTGCTGTCATCCTCCATCCCTTCCCCCTTCTCCTCTTCTTCCTCTTCCTCATCCTCCATCCGACACCGGCACACCTCAATCCCAGAGTCACCTGTAAGTCGCCGATGTCTATACTGGCTCTCATCTGCTCCAATATCCTCATCTTCATCATCATTGTCCTTCTGATCCTGGTCCTCCTCCCCATCTTCCCAGCTGGGTTCTGGTTCAAAGATGTCCACACAGGGGGAAAACAGAGTCTGTTTGGGAGGGGACTGAGTAGCACGTGGCGAGGGGGAGAGGGATGAGGCATGGCCAGAGGAAGATCCACCTTTGTTTGACTGGTGCAGAGCAGTGAGGGGGTCCAGGAGTAAGGCTGGGGCTGGGGGGGAGGTAGGACACAAAGCAGAGGGGAGGCAAGGAGGCGAGGGGAGTGATGGGGGTGAGGGTGAAGATGGGTAAAGGACTGTTGGGGGAGACTGACAGGGAGCAAAAGAAACATCAGCTTCTATGGTTATGGCTGGGCAGGAGGAAGAAGAGGCTGCTTGTGTTGTAAAGCTGAGAACTGGAGAATGAGTGGAGAGTGGGCTTGATATTGAACCAACATCAGACCCACATGATCCAGTTCCAGTCCTTAAACCAGTCTGGACGCTTAATGGTGAGTGACAGATGAGGTCTGACCCTGACGAAAGAGGCAGGACTAGAGAAGGGCCTGAATTGGCTGGCACTGTGGTTTGATCTTGACAAGACACAAGAACAGCAACAGGTCCTGGGTGCTGGGGCAAGTTTGACCTTAATCTTGTGATACCCAAAACTTGATCTGACCCATGGGACGGTTCTGAAATCTGGTTATGGGTTAATGAAAGAGAAGTTGGAGCTGCATCTGTGGCTAGGATAGGGTTTGGCTGTGCATGATTTGGAGCTAGAATGGGGTTAGGTTCACAGTCTAGGACTTTTGGGATTTTAAGTTGGATATTTGGCACTAGGGAAGGTTTTGAAGGTACTTTGTCTGACGCTTGGGTAACAGCTGTTAGTACTTGGTTTGAAGGGGGGGCATGTATTGTTGGTACTAGATTTGTATCCTGGGTGAAGTTTGTAGGTATTGCATCTGTTGCTTGCCTAAGGTTTGTAGTTACTGGGACCGACTTTTGGGTAAGGTTTGTGATTATTGGGACTGGTACTTCTGAAAGGTTTGAAGTTAATGGGTCTGGATCTGTAATCAAATGTGAAGGTACTGAATCAGGGGCTTGGGTAAGGATTGCAGACATTGGGCCTGAAGCTTGGATGTGGTGTCTGGGAACTGGGCTTGAAGGTTGGGTATGGTTGGAAGGTTCAGGAGCTTTAGCTTGTGTAAAGTTTGGAGATGCTGGGATTGGCACAAAGCTAGGATTTGGGTCTTCAATTGAGAGACCAGGAGAAACTGCCATGGCGGCTAACATTCTTTCAAAATCTGGGGATGGTACTGATGTTGGGCTACTTGGAATATTGGCTGTATCAAAAGTTCTTGTCAGATCAAGGGTTTTGAGGGTTTGGGTGACTGAAGAGATGTCAGAATTGCAAGCTGTTGGGGTTGAGCAATCTGTCATTGAGGTGGTTATAGGTGAATGACTTGTTTGAAGGCAGTTAGTCAGGTTCACAATGCTTATTGTTTGGTTGGAGGTGAGAGTTGTGTCAACGCTTGGACTAGGGAGTGTACTTGAGCTACATTTGCTTACTGTTGGGGGACAGGGTGCTAGGTCTAGCTTTAGAGGAGATGAAGTTTCAACTGGAAGAGCCACCTCTGCTCCAGGAGAGGGCAGAGGATGAGGGGGGACTGCTTTGTTAACAAGCGCCACGGTAACAGTCTGGTTGGGAACTGATGAGTCCGTGGCGATAGATTCCTGTGCCCCAGAAGAAACTTCATCGCCCATGTCAATGTCCACAGTGGTAGCAGTCCTCTCAGACTCAAATCGTGTCCGATTTACCTCCAAACGGTTTGCCGCCGCAGCAATAGTCTCCATGGTGACATCAAGAGTGAGGGGTGCCGCCTCGCTAGGGGTTGTGGCGTGGCTGGTGTCAGTCTCATATGTGACAGGTGCAGAAAGGGAGGAGCTACAAGGTGAGGAGGGGCAGCAGGAGTCACAAGAACAACTGGAGCTGTAAGAAAGAAAAAGTCGTTTTAATTTAAAGAGTCCATATTCTGCCCTTTTTGGGGTTCGTATATTTAATCTATGTTCCTACTTTTGTACGTTCACAATAGATAAAGTCTGAAAAAAGTGTCTGTTTTCATGAACTGCTCCTCCTTGCTCCCTCTCCGCTCTGAGTCCGTCAGCTACACTCTGTTGAGCCCACACTGTTAGACCCCACGTGGGCCAAGTCTGCTCTGATTGGTCTGCTGATCCGCTCTGTCGTTATTGGTCAGTCGCTCAGCACGGTTCTCGGGAAATGTCCCGCCTCTTTTACCATATTGGGAATGCAGCCACTGGCTCCGTCCGAGGGGAGCATAAACATTAGCACCTGAGCACTACTGTGCTACTGCAGGCTACGGCATATCGTGGGCGTGCTACAGAAGTTAACGGGCGTGCAACATGAGCTGCTGGGCCACAACGAGCCAATGGGCTCAGATCAGTGATCTCACACTGACAATGACGTAGGACTGACAAATTTTTATCGAGGCAGGGCTAGAACCGAGCGTTACATGCAGCTAATGCTACAGCTAACAGGAGGACGTAGGAGAAGCAGCATTTCTGCGGACTTTGAATTTTTGCACATAGATGTGACTAAACATGCACAGGACACTTAGAAAACACACTAAAGAGCATAAAAACCAGAAGAAGAAGAATATGGGACCTTTAAGAACATGAGCAAATGATTGCACAGCTTTTGTAATGAATATCATCCTAATACCAAAACAACACTCGGCACTTATTTTAAAGAAGCCTGCTGTCATAAATTTAAGGATTTGATTTTTTAATATATTGAGTATTACTGATAGTCCAACAGAAGCAAACACTCTTCTAATACGCATTTCCAACATTTATATAAATAGCATTATAAAACAGGGTTTCCACCAGCAGGACCCAAATGTTCGTCCCAGGAGCTTCTTTTAAAAACGGAATGTTGTCTGTGTTCCTCTGAGGTCCAAAGACCCAAAAGATTAGGTAACTGTGTCTGCTGTCATGAAAAAAGCCTGTTTCACAAATGTTTGTAGAGGTTTCACCCATCATGTCTTTTTTTTTTAATCAGTAAGAGTGTAGGCACCAAGAAGCTGCAGGTCCAGTTCAAACATCCAGCCGATCGGTCAAGAACTTTGGTGCCTGCTCTACCAAGCCAGCAAACTGGTCCCCCACTGACACTTTCTCTTATCGCGACCTAATTGCTCTTCTGGTTTTAAACACTCAGCTGTGTGGTGTGTTATAGGGGATTAAAATACATGTTTAAGCTTGGTATGGCAACACATCCAGACAAGCCAACTTGCTCGATTTGTCTCCTGCTGCCCTGTCAGAAATGTTCAGTTCTTTAAAGCCCAAACTAAAAGATCAAGTGTCTATCAATATCAACTAATCTATCAAAAAAAGAACAACCCAGGGCCCTTTTAGACCCTAGTCCAAAAAAAGCCCTGGGTCGAGTTCCTTTCGTAAAAATGAAGCTTTTGCAGAAGAAGCAGTAGTAGTGGTAGTTTTAGTAACAGAAACCATGAAAAAGCATTAATCCAAGAAGGGTGCTACCTCTGGTGTTCCTACTGTGCAGTAGTATTATGACCAACGCTCCCAAAATGGCAGGGAATATTATTACCTGTTGTCGGAGCTGAAAGAAGATGGACCATCGCTGAGCGTCTGGTGTAGCAGCGGACCGTGCTGCGTGAGCAGGTGGGGGTCGGAGGTGCGGGGTGGCTGTGGGTAACGTGGGGTGGTAAACACTGAGCTGTAGGGTGGAGGAGGGGTGGAGGGTTGTGCAGCCACCTCCTCATAGGAAGGCAGCTTCAGAGACGCCAGAAAACCTAAAATCAGCCCAGTGTAGTGAGGTTAGCAAGGGAATTGCTACATGCTAGTTTTAAACTCTGCAATAACTGATATTTTTGAGCTGCTTAACGCTTCCTAAGAATAACCCTCTCTCTCTTAAGGGACCTGGAAAGGAAACATCCTCCCTACGTCAGACCATATATTTTATTTTAAAATCAGTGAACTAATATTTGTACCTCCGATATCTAGCTTCCCCTTTCATCCTCTGCACACTCTGAAAATTCACTTTTATTGTGAACTGACTCTCAGTTCTCCTACAGACAGGCAGGCAGGTGTCTTACTCAGGTCCAGCATGGAGGAGGGATAGGAGTTGGCTCCGTGGTAGGCCAGCAGGCTGATCTCTCGTTGTCTCTGCTGCTGCTGAACCCTCAGTTTGGCTCGTCGGTGTCGGTATGCACAGCAACAGCTGAACAGGATGAGGACCGTCCACAGCAGCCAGAACCCTGAACACAACATTATCATCTTATTAACCCTGAACACAACATTATCATCTTATTAACCCTGAACACAACATTATCATCTTATTAACCCTGAACACAACATTATCATCTTATTAACCCTGAACATAACATTATCATCTTATTAACCCTGAACACAACATTATCATCTTATTAACCCTGAACACAACATTATCATCTTATTAACCCTGAACATAACATTATCATCTTATTAACCCTGAACACAACATTATCATCTTATTAACCCTGAACATAACATTATCATCTTATTAACCCTGAACATAACATTATCATCTTATTAACCCTGAACACAACATTATCATCTTATTAACCCTGAACACAACATTATCATCTTATTAACCCTGAACACAACATTATCATCTTATTAACCCTGAACACAACATTATCATCTTATTAACCCTGAACACAACATTATCATCCAAACATTTATTCAGAATCAAATTCCAAATAGAAGAAGTTTACCTTTAGTCTAAATAGGTGGAAATCATTCAACCAACATTGTGATGGGTAACACTGTCGAGCAGTTTCATCACCTATTAAATAATATAAAATACTAAACAACGGCCTACAGAAACAGGAAGTCAAAGTATTATAATTAGTATTCGTAAAGCAGACTTACACCAGAGTTCGTAGTAGTAGGTGCAGCAGCCGGTCTCTCCACAGCAGTGTCCCGTCTCACACAGGTACCCTCCATTAGCGTTGGCCCCTGGGCAGTACCGCGGTCTCCCCAGCAGGGGCAGGCTGCCACCGGAGTGGTACTCCATCGCGCCCCTGCAATGCCCGCAGCTAGCCCTGCGCCACCGCTACCTGTTACTTCTAGCCACTAGCAGCTAACAAGCTGTTAGCTGCTAAACACTTAACCCTTGGAGGGAACCAACTACATTTTTATAGGTTTTTATGTTTTAGTTGAATTTCTGTGTTTGGTTTGGATTGAATTAAAACGTGCTAGCTTGTTAGCTTCTCACCAGAAATAGCCTCAAACAAATCTACATTTTCAGACCAGGTGAAATGTTTTGTTTTGTTTGTTGGATTTCACAGTAAAACAACGGCTAGCCTGGCAGTTTCAATATGGTCGACCCCCAGATGCCCCCCCAACAGTCATACTAAGAGGTTCAGGAGCTAAGGCTACGGTGTTAGGTCAGTTAGCACCAACAAGAGAACTGTTAGCCTCCTTACTGTGATTTATCAAACAGCTAACACCTCAACTACTGAAGATTCATACTATGAATACTGGAGAGGCTGAAGACAGTGGAGGAGCGAGACGGGATGAAGGCCAATAAAAGATCCTGGAGAGAGAGAGGGGGGGGGGAGAGAGAGAGAGAGAGAGAGACAGAGAGAGAGAGGGGAGAGAGAGAGAGAGAGACAGAGAGAGAGAGAGGGAGAGAGAGAGAGAGAGAGGGGGGAGAGAGAGAGAGAGAGAGAGAGAGAGAGAGAGAGAGAGAGGGGGGGGAGGGGAGAGAGAGAGAGAGAGAGGGGGAGAGAGAGAGAGAGAAGAAGAGAGAGAGAGACAGAGAGAGAGAGAGAGAGAGACAGAGAGAGAGAGAGACAGAGAGAGAGAGAGGGGGGAGAGAGAGAGAGAGACAGAGAGACAGAGAGAGAGACAGAGAGGAGAGAGAAGAGAGAGAGAGAGAGAGAGAGAAGACAGAGAGAGAGAGAGACAGAGAAGAGAGAGAGACAGAGAAGAGAGAGACAGAAGAGAGGGGGGGAGAGAGAGAGAGACAGAGAGAGAGAGAGAGAGAGAGAGAGACAGAGAGAGAGAGAGAGAGACAGAGAAGAGAGAGAGAGACAGAGAGACAGAGAGAGGGGAGAGAGAGAGAGAGACAAGAGAGAGAGAGAGGGGGAGAGAGACAGAGAGACAGAGAGAGAGAGAGACAGAGAGACAGAGAGAGACAGAGAGAGAGAGAGAGAGAGAGAGACAGAGAACAGAGAGAGAGAGAGAGACAGAGAGAGAGAGAGAGAGACAATAGTTTATTGATAGAACAACAGTACGTCTTCACTCACAGCACAAACTACTACAGGCCTGTTTGATATTCATCAGTGCATCAGCTCAAACCACAAGCTGACACAATACTACCTCTCTGTCACACACACACACACACACACACACACACACACACACACACACACACACACACACACACACACACACACACACACACACACACACACACACACACACACACACACACACACACACACATTTATTGAACTTTATTGCCACTAACTGAGTTTCTGGGATTCTACTGAGAACCAAATTCTGATGTTTAAGGAGTGACTCTTATCAGCAGCCTTGAGCAAAGAGAAGCACGCAACATGCTTGTTTTGATAACCATGCCCAGGGGGCGTGTCCAGATAATTTTGGACAGTGGTTGCCAAAATAGGCCGCTGACATCTGCAGGGGTGGTGTCTGTTTGCATGCATACGGTTACATTACATCTCTATGTCTATAGAGAGAGATGTCTATCTCCACTTTTCATATCCTAGCTGCTTTTGTTACTTTTAACAAAAGAATGGAAACATGTAAAACTTCTCTGCTTCATTTCTCAAGGACTGTAAAAAGAAGATATCAAAGTCATAGTTTAAAGTCCTAAAAAAGTTGCATGATAACTCCTTTATCCAGTCCAGCAGGTTGCAGGATGGACTTGCTACTTACTTAAAGAAGATATCCTTGACATGGAAAGAAAACTACGAGCAGCATGTTGCAACATGGCCAACACAGCGGCACTTGGGAGGGCTAATAACACTATAAGGGGGGCCCGTTCCCCCCCTGGTCACCCCTCTGGACCAAGCAGCAACCTCTGTTGTTGAAACCTGAAGCCGATGCTGAAGTGTAAAATCCTGCAATTCCTCGAGTGTCCACTAGAGGCTGGCTGCAGAAGATAGATAAATAAATAGATACTTTATTGATCCCGAGGGAAATTCAAAACAAGCACACAGAAGTCACATACACACCCATTCAAAAAATTCTGAATGGGCTGAAAACAGTGTGTAGTTCATTAAACAGCAGAGAGACAGAAGGATCTGATCGACAGTAATCTGAAGTGAAATCTGGAAAAACATTCAAATCATTTAAACGGACTTCAGGAAGAAGAAGAGCTCACATCGTGAGGCTGAAAGGACCCAATCAGAGGCGCTGCTCGTCAATGGGCCAGCAGCTGCTGTTGGCCCCGGGCCAGTAAGGGGCCTCTGAGAAACTTTAAACCAGGGCAGTGGCTCAAAATGTGCAAATGTTGCAGTGACAGTAGGAAAGCTCCCTAAGAGGGCCCTATCTCACAGCAGCACTCTCGTTGTGCATCCTGTGAACACCAAAGTTTGTCAAAGTTGTGAAGAAAAATAAAGAGGAATTCTCCGTCTGGAATAAAGAAGGAAAGACATCGGATCAATACTACAACACGGTTCTGACTCCGTTACTATGGCGACCTAAAGGTGAGCAACGCTGGTTTTAGGCCCCCCCCCCGCATGTTTTTACCTATAGGGCCCAAAGAGACTGAATCTCCACTGGACCAAACTGAAGTGACGCCAGATTTTTTTAACTTCCATGTTTCTGGAAAAAACAAAAAACAATTGGCAACGCTTCAATTTAGGCCATACTCTCTCTCTCCCTCCCTCTCTCTCTCTCTCTCTCTCTCTCCCTCCCTCTATCTCTCTCTCTCTCTCTCTCTCTCTCCTTTCTGAAAGCTTTGGGTTAAAATATGGTCACAGATCTGAAGCTTACTATTCAGCATTTCTATCAGTCATTAAAATTGTATAGTTTGAATACACATGGTAAATAGTGTTGAACATTTTGACAAACTAGAACTGAACTGTAGCTCCAGTGTTTGGACCCTTCATCTTGAACTGAACTGTAGCTCCAGTGTTTGGACCCTTCATCTTGAACTGAACTGTAGCTCCAGTGTTTGGACCCTTCATCTTGAACTGAACTGTAGCTCCAGTGTTTGGACCCTTCATCTTAAACTGAACTGTAGCTCCAGTGTTTGGACCCTTCATCTTGAACTGAACTGTAGCTCCAGTGTTTGGACCCTTCATCTTAAACTGAACTGTAGCTCCAGTGTTTGGACCCTTCATCTTGAACTGAACTGTAGCTCCAGTGTTTGGACCCTTCATCTTGAACTGAACTGTAGCTCCAGTGTTTGGACCCTTCATCTTGAACTGAACTGTAGCTCCAGTGTTTGGACCCTTCATCTTAAACTGAACTGTAGCGCCAGTGTTTGGACCCTTCATCTTGAACTGAACTGTAGCTCCAGTGTTTGGACCCTTCATCTTGAACTGAACTGTAGCTCCAGTGTTTGGACCCTTCATCTTGAACTGAACTGTAGCTCCAGTGTTTGGACCCTTCATCTTAAACTGAACTGTAGCTCCAGTGTTTGGACCCTTTCATACCAACCTGTTGTTGAAGCTACATTTGATTTACAGTCAGTCTTCCTGCTTACTGTTTAAAATCAGTTTCAAATGAATAATAATAAAAAGATATAATTAAATCTTTATGGGTCTCCATAGTGAGCCCCCCCCCCCCACTCAGAGGCCACATGTGTACAAACATATAATAAGACATTTAAACTCTTCTGTTTTTACTAACCTGACGCAGTGACATTTTATTTCAGGTGTGTAATTTCACCCCTAATCCCCCCCACCCGTGCACACGGACCCTCCTGCCGCCGTTAACGGCAGAAGCTCCCGGTAGCAGATAAACAAAAACAACCGTTACCGTCCTGCTCCATCTGTCCGTTACCGGGCTGCTCGGTGTCAGCGCGCCGGTCTAGCTGCTCTCTCCGTCGGCCTGGATGTTGTTCGTGTGTCGGTGTGTCGGTGATCGGTACCGCCGGTTCTCCCGTTCCCCTCCTTCTTGCTCTCCCTCCTCGGTGTGACCCTCCGCCAGCCCCGCCGCCATCAGCGCGAGCGACACGTCAAGCTCCCGCGAAAAGGGACAATACACTTCCGCCCTCTCGCGTGTGCTTGTTTCAAAATAAAAGCCCGTCAGAACCTAAAGGGTGACTTTAATTTAAGACGAGACGTTTCATTTTTAGTGTTCCATATGAGAGTTGTTTTAAATGATGTGTCACATATTTAATCACGTAAATAAAAACATGTAGTTATAATACACAGACACGCCTCCTGAAGCCACTAGAGGGCGCTATGTTCCATATATTCCCATATAAAATAAGATAAGACAATCCTTTATTTATACCACAACGGGGAAATTTACATTGTTACAGCAGCAAAGAGCAAAGACTGCAAACAAAAAGTGAACACAGTACAATTTAAATAAAAAAAGAAACATTTTAAATGTACAAAAAAATAGATACCACAATATAGATTTTAAAAAATAGATCAGCTGAGCTGCAGTTTTGACAACAATGTCAGAATATTCCGTATGAATGAGTATATGAATGAATGAGTTCAGGCCCCTTTACACGTTAAGCTGGGGTCAGACGGGAGCATTAAAAACTGTGTGAAACACGTTATACAGAGTTTAAGGGGGTCAAATTCTGTTAGGTACGTTTTGAGGGACCCACCTGAGACAGTCAACATGAAGTCTTTCTATCAAAACTATAGACTTGACCGCTCACTCAATCCTTTGAGGGTCACTTCTGGCATTTGGTAAATTCCCATTTCTGAATTCTGTCATTTGTAAATTTGTTTGGAGACTTGTAAAAGTGTTCTGCTGATTGTAAATGTGTCTCAACCATCTGTAAAGTGTTTCACATTTTGTTAATGTGGTTTTATAAAACGTAAATGTGTTTATCCTTGGTTAAGGTTTATTACTTTTGTCATTTTGTTTTATAAAACATAAAATATGTGTGGTAATAATTGTGGTTTGCACCTCCCAGCCACCGTACCTCTGGCAGAGAAAAAATAAAAAAAACACTTTGGCCTTCTCTGTTCTCACAGTTTTGTGTTTTATTCTGAAGGTCCGCATTTTACTAAAACCGGAAACCGCTCGTGTCTGTGTTCGTTAAACTTCACCGCTCCGCCATTACAGTCTCCCTCCGGTAACGGCACCGAGACTCCCGCTGCTCAGGAACCGACAGAGTGAGGCTTCACTCAGGACGGAAACGATCAGACACACAGAACGAGCAGAAGGATTCAGACCAGACGCCATGTTTGTTTTTCATTAAGAAATAATATTTATAAATAAATAAATAAATAAATGATGATGATGATGAAAACAGAAATCCATGATGAAGGGCTCTGATGAGCTCCTCGTTCATTTCTTACAGATAATAAAAACAAAAAGAGGGACAGATTATGGATTCTCATGGCGGACGCACTGGCTTCTGATTGGCTCAAGGCGATGGGCTGCGGACCAATCAGAGGACGCGCTGAGAGAGGCTGCCGCTCTTAGCAACAAGAGGAAACTTTCAGAGTTAAGGGGGGGGACTTTCAGAGTTAAGGGGGGGGACTTTCAGAGTTAAGGGGGGGGGACTTTCAGAGTTAAGGGGGGGGGGGGGGGGGGAGTCCTGGAGTCCTGCAGCCTGAAAACTAAACTTTAAACACTTTCGTGTTTTTGGATTTTCTATTTAATTGAACATTTTGTGATTCTGCTCCGGAGACGTGGGCGGTTCTAGGCAGGGGCCTGTAACACTGAGCTTGGTCCCCCCATCAGGCCCACCCACCTGTACCTGGGTCCTGGGTCCTGGACTTCCTGAGACAGACCTCAGTATAATCATGAAATATGCAGGAGGAGGGGGGAGTCTTCGTACGGGGAGCTGGACCACAGAATCCCTCACTACCTCAACAAAACAAAGATCTGATTCTGGACTTCAAAAGGATTTCTTTTGTTTTTTTAATTGGCCGGCACAACTTGAATATTTAGAAGCTTTAAGTCATCGTCAGTTTAATGTAATGGAATAAAAAGTCGAGCAGATGTGCGTCCACCTTTACATAAACTGTCATGAGACATGGGGGGGGGACGCCCCGGTTCAAGTCCAACCTGTGGCTCCTGTCCCTCATGTAATCCAGACTCTCTGCTGTCCTCTCACATGATGACAAAAAGCCCCAAAATAAATCTGAAACTAAAAGTTTGATGAGACAACTGTAGTTCTAAGAAGAGGCCAGCAGGGGGTCCCAAAATAATAATGAACATATTCTTCATAACACAAAGAATCATCTCAGACTTTCCCTCTACTTTGATCCTAAACTTCACAGATAAAGATGAGATCTACTTTTTAATTTCCTTTAAACACTTTGGCGCCCTCTGGTGGTGACAAAGGTGAAAAGAACATCAGTGTGCAGCACTGGACTGTCTGTTCAGGAACCTTAAAGCAGCAATGTAATCTGACACCTAGTGTTGAAACTGGGTACTGCAGTCCAGATTCTAAACATCGGAGAGAGAGAGCGAACTACGTAAACTTTAAACGTTGAAATGTTCTTTTCAACAAGCGTGACTTTTGATTATCGTGCAGACAGGAAGGAACAAAGACTTCCTGCTTTCAGCTGGAAGTCTTTTTGCAGTAAACGTCTCAGAGTCCCTCTCAGTTAAAAAAACGGATAGCTGTAACGTTTCCTCCCGGAGTGACTCATCTTGTGTCGGGATAAAGATCGGAAATCCGAGACGGACTTCCCGCACAGGTCGCAGGTGTACGGCTTCTCGCCCGTGTGGCTCCGGCTGTGATTCATCAGCAGCTGTTTGAACGCAAACGACTTCTGACAGACGTGACATTTGTGTGGTTTCTCCTCCACATGTCCCAGGCGATGACTCTTCAAAGTTCTCTCTATCGCAAACGTCTTCTTGCAGATGTCACACTCGTACGGTTTCTCTCCCGTGTGAAGGGGAGCGTGGGAGCGGAGGCCGCGGTTAGACAGGAAGTTCTTCCCACAGACGTCACAGCTGAATGTTTTCTTGTGACTCTCCAGATGAG